AATTCTGTCTTGGAGTTTGGAATCAAAGGCAACTATACAGAGGAAAGAATGGATCTATTCTCTTAGTACTAAAAGTAAGAAAGAAAGATTCCCAGACCAGTTCCACAGTGGTAAGACAAATGTTTATTTTGTAAAAAAATAAAAAAGTACAGTAGAAAGAAAAAGAAAGGAGGGAGGAAGGAAGGGAAGAAAACTTCCTAGGAAGATCTCCAAATCTTTGAGGGAAAGCTTGATGTGAGAAGGGTTGCATGAATTCCTGACATTGCCTAAGCCAGAGATTTCAGTGAGGGTTTTATTTTATTTATTCTAATGCCTAACTTGGCTGTAGCACTGTTGATTTGATGACTGGAGGCTCTTTCTTCTAAGCTTCTGTTCCTCCATGCCTTCATAAGCACTCTCAACAAAACGTTATCTTCTGCTATCTCTAGATCAGATTGGGAGGGCCAACCCACGATCAGGAACCTCCTGAGATATCCACTTACGTGATGCTAAATGTTTCCCCTGAGACTTGTCACCGTCTCTGTCTTGATATTTGCAAGAGCACAAGCCGAGATTCTGTTCCACAAGACAGAGCTGCACAGGTAGGGAAGGAGTTTCTCCAGCATAGTGCTTTCTTGGATGTGGACTTCCAGTCAATGGCCTGGACCTGAAGGTTTTCCATACCTCCCTTGTACCCTCATTTGTCTGTTCCTAGGACAAAAGTAAGTATCAAGAAAACATGCAATCATAGCCAGTTAGAACTGAAAGGAGTGCTAGAAGGTCCAACCATTTTTATTTTGCAAGCAAAACCAAAAAAGGAAATAAAGCACTGAGTGGTTAAAGAGCTATACCACAGGCATCCTCTTAGCTAATTGTCTTCTGACTCCTAGTCCACTGCTCTTTCCACTCTACTATGCTGCTCTGCAGCATTCAGATTTCCATGCTCATTACCAACAGATGTCCTTTATAAATGGTGGGAGTGATGGTTTTGCTCAAAAGAGAGACCACACTTCCTAATTTTCTCTTATTTCGAATGTGCTATAGGAGTAGCAGTACAAATATCATAGCTCTCTTTCTGAACTTCAGGGGTTATAGCACTTTCAACATCTATTGGGGGATCTCAATTGTTAGGCTATTTACGTTAGCAACAGCAAAGTTTGGACACTGAGTTTTGTTGGCTGAATTTCCTGCAGTAACCAAGAAGAGATGAGATAGGCTATGAAAAATAATGGCTCAGATTGCTTGATCTTAAAATGTTAGTATCTTTTATGGTTTTCAAATAACTTTTATATTCATTGTCACAGAAGAGCAGAAGAATCTGTGAGGGAGATGGAGAGTGATTTCCACTTTGCTATCCTTAGAAGACAAGGGCTACATAATCTCCTGCCTTGAGTATGCTAATCCAGGAGAAATAAATATGACTCAGGGTTTTAGAGTCAGATATGTCTCTTGTATTGAGGGGGCTTCTCATGCTATAACTACAGCAGCACAGTAAGCTGTCACCTGGAGGTAAACACAGCCAGATACACTACGTAATATGACAGGATGTCTGTGGCTTGGTTGAGGGCACCAAGTCTTCAGTGAGAAACAAAAGTAACTCTTCCGTCTTCCCCTATTCTCCCTCCACACAAACAAAGCAAAGACATGGATGATGGTGGGAGCTGAAAAACATCAGTCTATGAGAAAAATTAAGACGGTTACATGAAGAGAAAGCAACTAAAGCTTTGCTTCAACCTTTTGAAAAACTCTTCATTCTCAAGCTATGAAAGACCCC